CCCCCCCCCCCCCCCCAAGTCAGAGCCGTTGAAAACACACACACACACACACACACACGCAGCTAATTAGGTTACAGGACTTCTGCATTGAAACAGCACATTAACTTCGTGCAAACCCAAGGGGGAGGGAGAAGGGGAAAGAGACTGCCAGGCAAAGTAGTGTGTGTGTGTGTGTGTGTGTGTGTGTGTGTTTTCAACGGCTCTGACTTGGGGGGGGATGGGATTCCATAGGACACCCTAGAAAATGACATTACAGTAAGAAGGGATCAGGACGAAGGCATGAAACGCAGTTCAAAAGCGGGGCACCAAGACAAGGAGCTGGGGGGATTCGATGCAGATGAAACGAAACCCTCCCCTTACCTGAGGTTACTGTTCCTCTTTGGCCGAGAGCTGATCGCCGGTGGGTTTTATTGGGCTCGACGGGAAGTGGTGGGATCGCTTCTGTGTCCAGCTGGCATACTGGGTGCTGTGCTGATGATGCAGGCGTGGGAATACTGGAGCTCTAGCAGTACTTTTCATGCTCAGACAGAAAATCCCTTCCCTTGATCCAGATCGCCGGCATTAAGGGCAGAGGCAAATCCTTTTTTCTTTCCCTCCTTCTCTCTTTCTTTTTCTTTCTTTCTTTTTTTTTCTGTTCCTTCCTCCTTTTTTTCTCCCCTCCCCTCTCCTCTGCCGATCAGTCTGTAGCCATCGGGGAAGGAGCAGCCGAGGCAGCGGGGAGAATGGAGAGGGGGCTGGAAATGAAAATGAAAAGGGCTTCAGGAGAGAAGCGAGGGGCGGGGCTTTCCCGGAGGGGCGGGACTTCGAGCAGCCTGGATAAAATGAATGGGGGAGAAACGGGGAGGAGCCTAAACCCGGAGATTTTATTCTAAAAAGTGTTTTGTACATCATGGGGGAGGGGGGCTGAGAAGGGGACACGAGAGGAGGGACTGGCTCGGAGGACCTGGGCAGACAGAGCCAGGGACGTGTAAAAGGCGCATCAGACTGGAGCTGGGGCAGCGGTTGTGGGGTGGTCCCATCGAGAAGCGCAGGGGGTCGCTATGCGGGCCAGGGCCAGCCGTGGGTGGGTCTGTAGAGTTCGCTTGCATTGAATTGGGGGGGGGGGCATGGGGGAGAGAAGGGAGCGGGGTGGGGGGTGGATTTCTAATGAAAGTTCACTTCCCTGGTCATTGTATTGTATTTGATTGTATTGTATTGCGAGCTTATGCTTCGGGAAGGAGCTGAAGCGCAGAGCAGAGGGGCTGGGGACTGCGGGCGCTCACTGCACTGGTGATTTGGTTGGATTCACATGTAAAGTCCTTCTTGCAAACTCCTTTGGGGCAGGGAGAGGGCAGCCTGGTCCTGGGCACAACCTGAT